GTGTTTAATTTTAAATAGAAAATATTAGTTAAACCCGTTTGTTCCAAATGGGGAGAGCTGGGCCTCAGGCCACCAAGATGCCTCCTATTACCTGGTTAAAGGACACCCCACTAACGGGGAGCTGCCCCCATGACAGTGCACTGTTCCCCCTGACTAGGTGTTTGCACTTAACAACCTTTCCTCAAGCTATCAGACACCTTAGCTTGCCTTTTTTTAAGCTGTGGTCTCCCATATTTTCTGACTTAGTTTAGCCACAGAGGCCCAACACTTCATACCTGTTTTTCTGTTAGCTATGTGTTGAGGTCATTCTGCCATGCCCTGGATACCCTCTCCTCCCAAAACCTGAAGGAAAATGCTCCAAGGGGCCTGGCCAAGGAAGAAGCTGTCAATCTGAGGAATGGCTGGTCTTGACCTTGCATTTAACATTCTTGAAGGTAGCTTCACAGGTTTCCAGTCTTCTCTGACAGTGAAAAACATCATTGGGCTCTTAGGAATCATTGAATATGTTACTTCTTTAGAACAGTGGTTCTCAATCCATGGGTCATGATCAAATCACCCTTTTATAGGGGTCAAACATCAGATATCCTGCATATCAGATATTTACATTATGAGTCATAACAGAAGCAAAATTAGAATTATGAAGTAGCAGTGAAAATAATTTTATGGTTGGGGTCACCACAACATGAGGAACTGGCTAAGCATTAGGAAGATTGAGAACCTCTGCCCTCGAGCATCTGGGCTGGGTAAGCTTATGGGCAGGAAGAGCTGCCACCCCACAGGGTACTGCTGGGTCTGCATGCACTAAGCAGTAAGGCTGGCCCTTCGGACAGCTGGCCAGTGACCCTCCAGTTCAGGAAGCCCATGGTGGCTACAGAGAATTTCCACCATTCCAAGAACTGGTTGGGTTTTTAATTCCATATCCTGCTTGCCCTGCTCTCAGCCTTTTGCAAATACATCAGTAATGCAGGTAACCTATGTAACCCAGCACTTCCTGAGAAGAGACCAGAATAATACCGAGAACACTGAAATAGGCAGGGTAATTCTTGGCATTCAAACGAACTGGGTGAGCAAATACCGTCTGTGCTGCATAAAGCAGGGCGATTTGAGTGAATTGCCCAAATGTTTTACAGGGGGCTAAAAAGCACGACTGTGAGGACATTTTCTCACACCCCACTTTACAGAGGGCATCCTCTGAAATGCTGTCTATAGGTCCTATCCTTTTATCCTTTAATAGTATGTGCATATATAGGCAGGGACTTCCTAGAAACCATACCTAACCCTCCACTACTTGACAAAGACCCAACTGAAGCTCAGTTTCCCATGATGAGACCTTTTTCGGCTCAAGTCTTTCAGGCACACATACCAGCAAACAAGATTAATGCAAGAGCCTCTTAGGAAGAATAACTTGGAAGGGCCTGACTGGTGATGCACATATCCCTCCATAGAGAAAGAGCTACAAGGAAGAGCTTGCCTGATGTCCTGGATAATGAGGAGTCCTATCAAAGATACTACACATTAAGTACAGTGCAAGGTGCATAGAGACTGCTGGTCACACTCAAAGGTGATCACTTTCCCCTCACACTGTCTAGACATTAACACAAGAGAAGACCCATGGTCGTCAAGGGCTCAGTTCTATACCAGAGAACATTATTGTAATGTGGGTATAAGAGGTCACATAGATACACTCATGTTTCTACTGGGCCCATCTCATTGGGAGACTCTTCTTAATGCTGGTGAGTTCTTATCCAGAACCACTCTATGCTTTACTGGGCATGAAAAGCCAAGTGGAAGCCTTGCCACTAGCCCAGAGTTTCATGAGCATCTTTCATAGTCAATGACTCATAGGCTTGAGACTATTTCCTAAGGACAACTTTGGGTGTTTTAGCCCGATGGGTCCTTCAATTTTTTGTCATTTCACAGAAAGTGAACATGCAGTGATATGTATATTGATGGCAAGATGGCTCAGTGGGCAAAGGCACCTGTCACTGAGCCCAATGACCTAAGTCTTATCCCCTTGACCCCTGTGCTAGAAAGAAAGAACTGATCTCTGTATGTTGTCCTTTGTGCCCCTCAATCCACAAACACACACACACACACACACACACACACACACACACACACACACACACACACAAATAAATCAAATATAAATTTTAACATATTAGAATTAATAAATATAAAGTGGAATGTATTTCCTGTTGTTGTAACTTGGGATACAACCGAAACAGTCACCTCCAGCATCCATGAAGTACAAAAGTCCTGAGAACCCTTTCTCCCCACAGGACCACAGGGACACCATTCAGGACTTGGTTTGGGTGATTAGAGGAGCACAGATATTTCAGGATGTAGGAGCTGATACAATTGCCTGACAATATAGTATCTACACCAGGGAAATGAGCAGATAATACTCTTCCCCAGAGTCATTATAGGTGTCACAGTGTGGAACTGGCTGTGACTGACCCTCCAACTTCCAGAGACTCCTCGGGACCCCAGCCTCACAGTTTCTGTTTTGCCAAACCCTGGATCCTCTGCCTTTCATGATATTCCCATGTGGACAAGGGGAGTGGGAAATTTGAATATTAGTCAAATTAATGATCTTGGGTGTGGAGTTGGAAGAGCCACCATCAAAGTAGCCTTGAACTTTGAAACTAATTGATTCCCTGAGATGTGTGGGAATGATTGTTCTAGAACCAGATGTGAGAGGCCACCACACTGTGGAGCTGCCTTGATACCCTGAGTTTGTGCTGTATGGACAATGACCTCAGTAGAGGTTTGTTTTAAAGGTGATAGAGGGAACCACAATCCCTGGCCTTGAGTTAAGGTGCCAAATCTTAAGATGGCTAAGGCACTGTGCATACTTTGGGATACTGGAGGGAAGGGCCTTTTGTGACAGGAGACCCTTTTCTCTGTCTTCTGTTTGATACTTGCAAGCTCCTAAACCCTAGCCAGTGTGACCGAGTGAATGATCAAGTATAACTAACTGCAATTGATTTGGGTATGTGTTTCATTAGGCACAGGTGGCTAGCAGCCACTATACTCAACAGAGAATCCTCAGGGTTTCCAGGGCCATGTTGAGTAGCACCCTCTGTGCTCAACATATGGGGATGCATTCATTACACTGGACTCAGGCATGGGGCCAAGTGTTCCTCAGACCCTCTTCCTCCTATCCAAAACCATTCAGCGTAAGATCAACACAAAGACACTGGCAGACATTACCCAGTCCAGAATCTGTCACTGGGATGAATACCGATGGGTTACAGAGCAGTGCCACCCTTTCCAAGTCACTAGAGCCAGAAGTCCCATCCAGACATACCTTACTGGCTTGAACCCACTTGGCTAGGCACAGAGAGCCTCTGGAAAGCTAGAAGATCTGCTGAGCAAAGCCCCATGCTTATTCTAATAGCACAACCAAATGCCTAGCTATATGCATGGTTTTCCCTTCCTTGGGTGCTCATGGATGTTTCTGCTTGAGTGTGACTCCCAGTGGGTACACACCTTAGCATTATTGTATACATCTGGTTTCATACCACTTGATGAGGTTTGTTTTCTACCTGGTGTTGGTGACATCCTTTTATGTTGCTGTTTGGCTCCAGCTATATCAAAGTCCAGGATTGGTTTCTGTTTGACCCTCTCATTTTTGTAACCTGCTAATACCTGTGTCCATCTTTCCCAGTGTGTGACTTTTCGATGTGTATGGATTCAAAAACAAATGAATGAAATGAATGAAAATGGAGATGGCATCTCAGCATTGAATAAGCTTCCTGCTTGACTACTAACATCCCAGTAGCTTCATAGCTACTGGAATCTTAACTGTTGGTCAGAGGTGGGTTTGGTACTAAGAATTAGTTCCTCTTGTGGACAGGCCATTTACTCCAAGTTGGAATGGCCAAAGTCACAGGCAGGACAAGCACCAAATACCTTGCCTTTGAAACCAGTACATTGGCTTCACTTCCTGTCCTGGAAGGCAGAGGCTGTTTCTTCTCCACTGCTTACAATAAGCAGACTCTGACTAATTCAGCCACAGAAATCCTCCACCCTTTGAGTCTGTGTGTTCTGCTGCAGTGATAATGTATTACCTGGCTTCCCTTCATCACGCTGCTGCCAGCTCACTTCAGCCACAGAGTAAAGGGCACCAGTCACATGGACAAGAGAGCACAGCCTCACATCCAACCTCCAGAGCCCTATGGTGGAGTGAATGAGGCAGTTCCAAAGGGTAGAAAAGAAAAGGCTTGATAGGTCAGATTCAGGATGGTAAGCCATGGGCACTGTTGAAAATGCAGAGAACCAGCCTTGGCAGCCTTGATCACAGTGAGGGCTGAGGGAGATGTGTTTCCTAGCTTGGATGAGCAAAGCTGGTCAAGTCCAACAAGCCCTTGTTGATGCTGGACTGTATTGTAGTCCGAATGTACAGCAAAGACAACTCATGGGTGCCGGTGTATTCTAATCACCTACAAATAGGGCATGCCTAAAGAGGGGCTCGCCTCTGTGTGCTCCAGGAAAAGAGTGGAAACCAAAAACTATTAAACAAAATCCTATATGGTCTAGAATGCTGATCCCAGTGAAATCAGTTATCATTCATTAGCATTTACTTTTCCTACTGCCATATGATCTGTCCCCCCTCTCCCTTCTATAATGGGATTCTTAAGAATCAAGTGGCCTCTTAGATATTTTTAACTGGTTTGTGTATTACAATTCATGCAGATCAGAAACATTAATCTGAATATATCACAAGGAAGACCCATCAACTCTGAATATACAGGTAGAGCTTGAAACCAAGTCCAGATGGGTAAAACTAACCAACAAATGAATGTGAGAGATGAGTGTGCCAGGAAGCCTGGCCTTCAATACACCCATGACCCTTGCAACTCACTGGTTCTTCAGACTGCAGCCCTGACACCGAAACATTGGCATTAGACTCCTTAGGGTTGGGACTTTGGGGCTGTTGATGGGCCTGCAAGTGGTAAGCCTGCAGGAAATAAAGACACAGTCAACATACATACCCTTCCCGGTGGGCCTCTCCTTTCTCCAGCTCCTGGATGACTCCCAGCAGCACTTTGATGGTCTCCTGGCTTGAGCTGATTAAGTTCTCCATCACCTGCAGCTGGGCCTTGAGGTCTACCACTTCTGTGTGAGGCACAATTTGTTGGCGTTCTTCATCCCCCTCCCCAGCTGTGGGGCTAGGCTGGTTCTGCAGGGGCTGTTCGCTACATTCTGGGGACAGGCATTGCACTGGGGGTGAGCAGGCCAGAGCAGAGCCCGTGGATGCCTGTAGCCCATTGAGGTGGGCAGCCCTCCTCTGCTCCTCATCTGCAGGGCAGAGAGACCACTGGCTGGCAGCAGCAGAGTTTGACAAGCCAGGCTCAGGGGCCCTGGCACTGGTGGCAGGAGGGTACACAGTGGCAACCTCTGTTTTAAACACCCTTCCATGGGCAAGGGGAGTGGGCTCCTCTGAGTCCAGCCTGCTCCTGTCTGTCTTAGCTCTCCCCTGCAGCTGGTGGGTGGGCTCCTCAGAGGGAGGCCGAGAGTTCTGCAATAGAGCCTCAGGGTAGCCAAGCATTTCTGGAGTCTTGCAGAGCTCTGCACAGTTGACCCCAGAAGGCTGGTCCAGTGCATTCACGTGCTCGTTGGAATGGAAAACCAGTGCTGTGGTCTTGTGAATCCTTCCTGCACTGCAAGGCCGGGAGTCCTCCATGGGTCCTGCCTCACTCTTCTCTTTTGAATCTGCTAGAATCCCATTGTTCTGGCTTTTGAAGGCATCTGCAGTCGGCAGGCCTTTGAGACTGCCTTTCTTGCGGTCCATTGGGAATGTCTGGTAACACTTGCGAAGGTCTGGTGAGGTCTGCACACCAGTGCTCTTGGTGACATTGGGAATGGATCGTCGCGCAGGCACTGTCATATACTTACGGTATGCCGCCCTACAGGACACCGCCTTGGCTTCTCGCTTCTCCCCCAGAGGTCCTGAAGACAGCTGTGTGTCCCTCTGCTCATTCTGGGCCTCACAGATATCCTTGAAGCGCACCTGCAGGGCTTTGTTCCTCTTTTTGATCTGCCGGTTGGGGTCCAGGGCGTATCTCATCTCCAGGGCCAGGCAGGCGGCTGGCTCCACTTCCCGCTCCGGTGTCGTGAGTATGCATCTGCCGGAGTCCTTGCTGACCATGGTGCCTGCATATAGATACAGCAACAGAAGCATCAGTGGGTCAGAAGCACACATGCAAGCGCAGCTGAATGGACTTCCAGCCAAATTACAGCTGCCGGCTTCCTAATTATTTTTAAACAGGTGAGGTTGGCCTTTATGTTAAGGAAAATCAGACAGGCGGGGAGTTGCTGGCAGGCACAGCATGAAATGCTTCTTGATATTAAAGCCTGCTTACTTTTCCATGTGGGATACACTCGTTTTTTTTCATTTGATAGTAATGCTTGTTTCCCCATTAGACAAACCTGTTTTACTATATTCATCAAGCAGCCCCAATGACGCTGCCTTGTCAGCTTTGCAAATTATCTTTTCACATGTGTGTCTCCACTCCGTAGGCAGATGGTTTACCAAATGCAACTTGTTTAGTTTAGGGTTTTTACATTTTTTTTTCTTTTGCTGATGACGTGATTGATCTATTATTGGAATCTAGCAGTATAAAGACTTACTAGGTCCTGAGCAGATAGACACATGTCGAGGTGGGCTTACAGACAGGAACCAGGATCCCTAAACACAGACTTTGTGGGGAGCCAGCCTTTCTCCTTCACAGGGCTATCTCCTGGGATTAGTCATGTTGGGGAGCATAACTTCTAGAAACATCAGTCATGAACACAACATGGGTTTCCCTGAGTCTACAGAAACAGCAATACCATCTTTTTTTGTTGTTGTTGTTGTTTGGGTTTTTTTGTTTTTTGTTTTTTTTTTTTTTTCCTGTGATTCCACGGAGAATGGTATTTGGAAATTACTTTAAAAAATAAATTATTCATTCTAGAATCAAATTTTGTGTTTTGATCACAACCCCTGGGAAAAAAATGATAACAATGGTAGTTGTTCTAGCATTTAAATGCTGAAAGAAAATAAAATCAGGAGCCTTTTTGTTAATCATGCAGATTCATCTCGGGCTGAGCTATTAAATGCAGCTAAAGAGTTGCAGGTGGCCAATGATTCTCTGGGGAACTCCAGGAGGGTAAGTGCCTTCCCTTTATTAGATAAGCAGATTCGCAGCTGCTTATTGCACGCCAAAGAACTTTCTTGGGGCCTGCACTTGAAGCAAGATACAGAGAAGTTTGGCCTGGGGGTGCAAATTTCTATTCCCAGCTACTTGGGAAGCTGAGGCAGGAAGATCACAAGTGAAGGCTGGCTTGGGCTGCAGAATGAGCTCAAGGCCAGGCAGGACAGACTAATGAGCCCTGTCTCAAAAAGTAGGTCTGAGATAAAGCATTTTTCTCTATATGTATGAGGACCTGGGTTCAATTGTGGGTTTAGCAAAAGGAAAACAAGCAGAAGATAAAAGTGTGCTGTTTGTGAACTAACTTTCTCCTGACATTTGAGAGTAAAGTGGTCGATTGGTTGTATGAGGGTATATAGGAGGCTCTGGCCAGTGTTCAGGGATGCAAAATCACAGGGATGCATCAAGGTCAGTAAAAGCTACATATTACCCAGCCCAGTGTCAACAGAACTCAAGGTCTGTCCTGAGGCAGAGGATTTGCAGGAGTGATGGTGACAGTGGTGCCATTTTAGGTAAGAGTCTAGCCCTGGGACCTGGAGGAGACATTCTTGGGCAACTCCATGACAATGGAGAATTAGAGAGTGGCTACTACTTATGGGGTCAGGGAATGGGTGGCAAGTCTTTATTTTCCTTGCAATTGATATCAAAATTCCTATATCACAGAGGTATGGTATGCTACTTGTTCAACCTCTCACAGCAGGTAAAAGCACAGGTAGGCCATGTCCCACCAAACCCTGAGCTCACGATGTTTCTAACAGACCCAGATGTCCAGTATACAGGTCCAATGCCTGCTCTGTCCTGAATCCTTAGTTAGCACTGTATGCCAGTAGGTATAGTGGTTTGCTGAAGGAGAGAAAGAGCAACTCCAAGCCCTTGGCTTAAGGGTATCACATTACCTCTCTGCAGTGGGTTATTCTGTTGCTACACTGGCCTTTGCTACCTTACAAGCCCCCATAGGTATTCATAGCATGAAAGAATCTGAGGCAAATACAATTCCCAATTCTTCCTAATAACGCTGAACACTAATAGGTTTGGGTGTACCCGAAAACATTCTCTGCAGTCTTTGGTTCAATTTAGACCAGGGTTACTCGGCTGCTGCTACACAGGTAGGTAAGGCAGGTGACCCGCTGATGCTGGACGGGCTCTGTGCAGTGCAGACTGCTCAGCAGCTGCAGTTAGCAGCAGCACTGGCTTTTCCCAAACAGAGAAAGGAAGTATGCCTTCCTTCCAGTGTGACAACCAGCAATGTCACCAAGTGAGCACCACCACCATGGCAGCCCTGCATTGGCCTTTCCAACCATAAGTACCCAAAGCTTCTATTATCCCAGAGTTATATCCTCAGAATCAAGGCTTTCAAGTAGTTGCTTGGGATATCTGCAGATGTCTGTAATCTGAAATGTAACCTCCAGGACAGTTTTAGAGAGGAGGGAAGAGGAAGAGAATGGACCCGAGATGTAATACATTAATATAAAGGCTCATACAGAGTGGAGGAGGGGATTGTGCCTAGGGTTGGGTGGGACAGTGCAAGGCTGCCAGCATAGATAATAGCTATCTTTCAGGGACATTTATACCAACAAGTAAAAGACATATACTCAGAAGTTGGTGTGGGGGAAGAGCATTGGAAACTAGGGACATTATAAGAAAATTAAATCCTAACCTCCATTCCTATCTGTGACTGTTCTTTGGTTCCCTTGCCATCTAGGTGTGTCAGAATGTATTGTGCCATCATTCTGAAGGAGACCTTCATACTAGGGGAAATTTGAAAGAGAGAGCATTTTTACAAAAAGCAATTTACCAGTAATTTTTCAGCCTTTTCCCTGCCACTCCTGAAAAATGTGTGTCTGAGTAAGTTTGTCCTGCCTCACTATTCATCATCAGGATTTGCCAGGAACTGCACTGAAATAATTTCTTACATCACTCCGCTGGTTTGCTGAGTGTTAGACCAGACCATCAAACTCATAAAACAAATCAAAGGAATTAATTGCTGGTGGTGAGAGCAAAATAGTAAAAAAACAACTCTCAGCTCTTCAGGCTTTACACAGTTGCTAAGTACGTAAAACACCATTCCCTTATTAGTGAAAATGAAGATTAAATAATAAGTAAGTTCTTTTGCTTTGGGAGCCTGTACAGAGGGTTGACCCTAGGGCCTTGTGCCTGCTGGATGGATTTGAAGATGGATTTTTATTGTCTTTTTATGACTTGTATGTGTATGATTAAATGCTCTAGAAGGCGAGAGGCATTAGAAGCCCTTGGAGCAGGTATTATGGGAACTGAGCTTGGATCCTCTGCAAAAGCAGTATGTGTTGGGCCTTCTCTCTAGACTCTATGCATGCACTCCTGTGTGCTACCAAATGTCAGCCTTTGCCTGTACATTGCACTCTCATCTTATTTGATGCTCAGGACCCTCTTGTCTTCTGAGGAGACTCCATTGTTATCCTCATACTATACGTTGTGACTCTGAAGGGCTCAGCTGGTGACCTGCACCATAAGTCCCTTTGAATAACATTCACTGAAGAACTACCCTAAGCAGAGAAATCTGTCACTTGGCATGACCCATGGTCAACTTCAAAAAGCATCAGTTAAGCCAGGCATTCTGGCATGCACTTGCAATTCAAATACATAGGAACCAGGGACAGGAGGATCATTGCAAGTTTGAGACTAGCTTGGTCTACACAACAGGTTCTGGGTTTGCCAGTGATACTTAGTAAGGTCCTTTCTTTAATAATAACAATAAATAATAATAATAATAATAATGCATCAGATATCTGAAAAGAATATGAGTCAATCTCCTGGCCTTCTTACATCATGTATCAGGTGTGGCTTATGGGAGACCTCCAGTGGTCCTGGAACATTTCTGACATTGATGCACAAACTAAGAGTTGCCTTGAAGTTTCAGGTGACTGTGAGACTTGGATGGCATTTATAACATGCCTTCCTTGGGTAGGTAACCCCATAGAGCTGGAAGTGCTGGTCCTTTGGGCAACTCTCTTATCTGCAGAGTAGCTAGAGTTCATAACCTGCATTAGACTTCATGGGGATATGCTTTGGAAAGTGGCAAGTCATGGTTGGGCCTGTCTGGCACAGGGAGAGCTAGATGCTGTTGAGCTGTGTAGAATATAAATGTCTTAATTACTCTCAAATTAAATTTCATAATCAAATGTGAGCTGTAAATATATAAACCCTGTAGTTTTAGATTAGCGATGCCGTGTCATCTCTGTGCTGTTTTAAATTAATAACATAGATAAAAACACATTCGGTTCAACTTGAAAGTGTGAGAAATGCTAACAGCTTAACAATAGGTAAACAGCCAAGTGAATGATGGTGTACACTCACTGCGATCATTAAAATAACAGTTATAAAGAAGGTTTGGTATCTCCACAAAACATGAGCTAATGTTAAGTGAAAGAAAACGGCCTACCAAGTTTAGCTGGGGAAAACAATAAACTACAGTGAGTGCTGTTATATTAAAACATTGCCTTTAGGGAGAGTGTCTTATCCATGTTTTTTGACACAAAGTTGTTTCCTTACTTTTGCAGTTAAAACTCAGAGCAAAGGCATCCCTTCTGCAAACCTTTTTAATTCTGCAAACCCAGCCCTGTGTCAGGTGAGACAGGCAGATCTGGGTCTTGCTGGCCTCTCAAAGTCCCAGAAAGGATCAAGTTGGTGTGCCAGCAGTCCTCAAAGTCCTTCCTTTGATCCTGTTGAGAAAGTGCTGAATCTTAAAGTTATGATAGTGTGTGTCCTTGCTTGTTATGTCTAGGTGTATAGCTACCATATAAGTATTTGTGTGTATAGACATACTCACATGGGTTGGGAGAGTTAACAGGCCATGCCAGTATTCCAGAGAACTTAATATGAAGAAGAAATTTGCCACTGGTTTTAATTTGTTATGAAATTGATTTGCCTTGTGCTCTGTGATTAGCATCTCCGAAAGTCTGAAGTTCCATCATATGCCATTGTTAA